ACAACAGGTGTAAAAAAAAAAAAAAAAAAAAAAACTGCAATACTATATATTATAAAGTGAAATAAGTGGAAAAACTCAATTGAAGTAAGTGAAGGACACAAAAAGTGTAAAAAAAAAAAAAACAAGTGGAAATAAAAATTAAAAATGGCTAAAAATAAGAAAAAATCAACCTCAATTAAGGCTAAGTCTAAAGATGAGATGAAAATGCTTCAGAAATTAATTAAGAATGCAGTGAAAACCTTTGAGGTTAAAATAAAGGATCTTGAGGAAAAATTTATTAACCAAACGAAAGATTACCAAATTAAAATAAATCAAGGAGAGGTGTCCGGGGCGAGCACCTCTCATGTAAATGATCCTAGACAAAATATTGTATATAATGTACATAATGTAACAATAGAAAAGCCGAAATTTGGAAATGGAAATACTCATCCAGTATCATTTTTGGAAGATCTCACCAATTATTTAAAGAAAGTTCCATCTAATGGTCTCGAAATTTCGATTGCACAAGAGTGCTTAGTAGGTGAAGCCAAGTATTGGGCTCGCATTAATAATGTGCGTTGGACAACTTTTGATGATTTTAAAGCTGACTTCCTAAGAGTGTTTTGGGGTGAAGAAGAACAAAATAAAGTAAAGAGATTCCTTGTGCAAAATAAATGGAATAGAAGTACACACCCCACCATGGTTAGTTATTTTCTTTATGTGGTTGAGAAGGCACAAACATTATCATATCCGATACCTGAAAAACAATTAGTAACTGATGTCATCAGAAATTATCCTAAAACTGTGCAGCAATTATGGAGAATAGCTAAAATTGAGACAATAATAGACTCAACAGATTTCTTAAGAAACTTAGATGACATCGACAAACAAGATGAAGGTCGTGAACCTTACTATAATGAGAAAAGGAGGAAGTTTAATAATAATACGGAGCAAAAACATAAAGAAATACAACAATCATACAAAACATGGCGTAAACCCGAAGAGGAAAAAAAGAAGGTTATTGAAGTACATGAAATACATTTCACTAATGACCAACCTGATGTTACGGCCCCTGAGCCAAATTTAGAGCTGTAGAGGTCGAACTAGTTCCCGATTCGACCCCTTACAATGTGAAAGGGAACAAAGCATTAAATATGTTATTAAAACTGGGTTGGCGACCTGGTCAAACATTGGGTAAAAACAATAGAGGGTTGTGAAAACCTATTAATTTAAAAGCAAATTTTAACAGAGAAGGCCTTGGTTATAACGACAATGTAAATAGCATATTAAACACCTTAAAAGCCAGGTCGGACTTGCCCATAACGGAGTTATTCGTGCAAACCGTCTTCGAGGAAGACGAAGATAAATATCAAAGGGAATTTATAGGGAATATGAGATCTGAAATTAAAGTTTCAATATTTGACAAAGAAATAGACGCGCTCCTCGACACTGGGAGCGATGTTACATGCATTTCAGAAAGTTTATATTTACAAATTAAAGATAATAATCGTAAAATATCAATAATGCCAGTTAAAGCAATGCAAATAAAAGGTGCTGTTGGGCAGCGCAGCACAAAAATACAACAGATAATCATATTGCCTATAAAGATAGATGAAGTAGTCTTTGAAACACAAACTTTAATTGTAGGTAATTTAATAAGACCTTTAATATTAGGCTTTGACTGGCTCAAGAGAAATAAAATATTGATTGATTTGAGAAATACTACTGTTGGAATAGAATTTAAGGTGAAAAACAAAGACTACTTTATACCTTTCAAATATAATAATAAATCTGTATTACATAATAACTGCATCAAACAATGTACCGATGATCCCTTAATAAATATAAAAATAGGATCTACATTGGAGGTCTCTGAAAGGGCAAAACTTAGTAAGGTTTTGGAAAAGCATAAGAATATGTTTTCGAGCAAATTGGGAAGAGCCAATTGCTATGAGCATAAAATTGAAATGATCGATGATAAGCCTATAGTTACTAGGTCCTATCCCATTCCATATGCATATAGAGCGAAAATGGAAGACAAGTTAAATGAAATGGAACAAGCTGGTATCATCACAAGGACATCAACGCCTTACAGTAGTCCATTGACATTCACTCTTAAAAAAGACGGCTCAATTAGAGTACTGCTTGATGCCAGAAGCATAAATAAGAAAATGGTTGCAGAAACAGAGAAACCACCTATACAATTAGATGTTTTGAATTCATTTCACGGAGCGAATTATATCACTGCCATGGACTTAAATAATGCATATTTTCAAATTCCGATAAATAAAGATGGTAGAAAATATACTGGATTCACATTCAATGGAAAGTCATATGTATATAATGTTTTGCCGCAAGGATTAAAAACATCAGTAGGAAGCTTTAGCAGAGCCATGAATTTAATATTAGGACCAGAAGTCCAAGAATTTTGTGTGAACTATTTAGATGATCTAGCCATTATTACAACAGGAACGTTAGATAAACATTTGGAGCACATTGATATTGTTTTAAGTAAATTGAACAAAGCTGGCTTAACGTGTAACTTGCAGAAATGTGAATTTATTTGTAAAGAAATTAAAATGCTGGGTTTTATAATTTCAACAGAAGGCATAAAGACAGATCCCGATAAGATTCGAGCGATCCAAGAGTTTCCAGCACCTAAAAAGATTAAACAATTAAGGGCCTTTTTAGGTCTATGCAATTTTTATAGAAGGTTTATACCAAATTACAGCGAGAGCATAATACCGCTCTGTGAATTACTTAAAAAGGGACGAAAGTTCCAATGGAGCGGTAAAGAACAGAAGGCATTTGATTTTATAAAACAACAATTTATTAATACAATAAAATTGCATCATCCAGACTTTAATAAGCCGTATTATTTACAAACAGATTGTTCCGGTGTGGGTATGGCCGGAGTACTATATCAGATAGATGATAATAATGAAATGAGAATTTTAGGCTATCATAGTAAAGCCTTAAAAGGACCCGAATTAAATTGGTCTGTTACTGAACAAGAGTTTTATGCTGTAATAAGCTGCCTAAAGAAATTTGAAACATATTTGCGGGGCAGTAAAGTAATAATACTAACTGATCATAAAGCATTATTGTTTATTAATAATATGAAGTTATTCAATGGTAGAGTAACCCGATGGATTTTGTATATAGAACAATTTAATTATGAAGTACAGCATATATCGGGTAGACGTAATATTGTTGCAGATGTGCTATCACGTTATCCTCCTGATGGCGATTTAATACAAGAGGAAAAAAATAATAGTTTAGAAATTGCTTACACAGAGAGCGAACCGAATATTGAGTTGATAGAAAAATTAAAATCCTTATCAGTATATCAATTACAAAATTCAGAGTCGTTGGCTATTATTGAAAAATTAAAGACATTAAATACTTCCATAATAAAACAAAACAATAAATTTAAAAGGTATAGTTTGAAAAATGATGTATTATATTACAAAACGAATTTACAAGAAGTAATATATTTACCTAAAGCGTTGAGACAAGATATTATAAATCAATTGCATGTCGAAATGGGCCATCAAGGACCCTATAAGGTAATTAAATATGTGAGAGACAGATTCTTTTGGAAAGGTTTAACAAAAGATATTAAAAACCAATTAAGGGCTTGTCATTTATGTCAGTTATCTAAGAAAAGCAATATAACATATGTGGGTCCCTGCAAATCTATAATAACAGAAAACATTGGCGATATAGTCATGGCAGACTTATATGGACCACTTGTATCAGATACCTTTGGGTACACTTTCATATTTGTCATTCAAGATTCATTCAGTAAATTTATCAAATTATATCCTTTAAAACAGTCAACAGCAAAGTCTGTTGTAACAAAAGTAAAGCATTTTGTTGAGATTATAAAGCCCAAGGCAATAATGACAGATAATGGAAAACAGTTCGTAAGTAATCACTGGAAACAATCAATGAGTGAATTAAATATAAAGCCAATATATACCACAGTTAGAAATCCTAGACCAAATACAACAGAGCGAGTAAATAAAGAGTTGAGCAGATTATTTAGGACGCTTTGTCATACTAACCACAAAGATTGGGCGTTAATATTGCCGAAAATAGAAGAATTGTATAATAATTCTTATCACAATAGTACAGGCTTCACGCCTTGTGAGATTCTTTATGGTGAGTCTAATGAGATGTCTTTTGACAAAGTAATTTCCAAAAGTAAAGACAAACATAATGTCGAACAAATTAGACAACAAGTGCGTAAAAATTTAAAAGAGGCAAGTCGAATAAGAAACACAAAATTTGATAAGCGAAATAGATTAATAAAATATAATATTGGTGACTTAGTAAAAATTTCAAGATCTAGTAGATCAGACGCTGATAATAAAGTTATGAGTAAGTTCAATTTGGCATATGAAGGACCTTATGTAATAGCAGCCGTACCATTTGACAATGTATATACCTTAGCAAATCCAGAGACAAACGAAATTAAAGGAACTTTCAATGCTATTCACTTATTAAAATATTTTAAATAATAATTTCTTTTTGTATAAATTAGAGTAATTAAATAAATATTGTAACATAAAAGGGTTTTGTGGGTGGCCCATGGAAATAATTGTTTAAGTTAAAGGTCTAAAATTATTAAAGTTATGAGCAAGAGATTTGTTATATGATAGTAGAACATTATTAATATATAATGAAGAGTTGTAAATATAGATTGTAAGATAATTTTGTAATCATTTTTATTAAATAAATATGGGAGTTGGGTCAGGGCGAACTGACCTCAAAAAATATCAAACTGGATTGTATGCACATAAAGTGTGACACTATCGAAATAATGTTTCAAAGATTTAAAGATAAATTAATAAAATAAGAAATCGACAATTGACTGCAAACTTTATTAACAACACGATATACAATAACTTGAATTATGGTGTTATCACATTGTGATAATTGTGGTTGAAGGGGTGTTGGTGGCGGCCATTCTCTGGGGCAGGGGGATTTGATAACATATGCCGTATTGTAACAGATTAAAAGAGGAAAGAACAGATATATAAACAATTATTTGAGTGTAGTGTATATGCTCTCAAAATACTAAAATTTTATATTAACGACTCCACTATGTGGATCATTAACATAAAATTTGGGTGTGGATTGTGACGGCTCATAATTATTATTAATAAATAATAATTATATTCATTATACAGACATTTAAAAATGTCTGAGAAATTATAATTTAAACAATAAAATGCAAATAATAAGCATAGAGTTCAAAAATATCCATTTGGAATATTGAATATTATATATATTAGTAAACGCATAAAATGTCTCAAAAAATCTCTAAATTTATTAAAAAACTGCTTAAAATGTTTAAAATATATCAAATCATATAAATACAAGGCGATTATATTGCAATAACAAAGATAAATAACATTTGTAATATAATAGAAAAAATGGATTAAAATTTTCAAAGTTAATGAACGTGTTCTTGTAATGTTCCCTTATATTGGGGCGTTGTCGGAGACACATACCCAAGGTTGTACATATATATGGGGTGGTCGGCTGACCGACTGCTAGTACTAAGGTTGCACAATGACTAGTCCTATATTAGGGACTTAACATAGTAAGGTCTGACGAACCAAAGCATTAATATAGAAGGTCTCTATGATGCATAAGCATTATGATAGCAGAGTTATGACTTGAAGTCCCGTATGAATAAGACATACAGTAGTATGGTCTATGAAATAAAGCAAATATGTGGAAGGTATCAAATATGTAAAGGCATTATATTGAAAGAAATGGGACTTGAAAAGGATTATTATAGTGGCGTGTAGGTTGCTTCGCAGCCTCTGAGACCGAGGTAAACTTGGACTCACTAACCGATGTGTCCTAGACATATCATCTTAGTGCCGGTGGTAAGCGGGTTTGTTGTAGCAATACGACTTGCCCGTGGACATCGCACACCCCTACCGGTTGTGGGCGGCGTCTTAGCGCATAGCGTTATGATACGTCGGCTATCTTTCGGATTAGGGTGAGTGTGTTTGGTAGTACTTTTAAGTGCAGCAAGCATACTCAACTTCATGTCTTAGTGCAATAGCGCTATGATACGTGGAGTTTTGGCTACTGACGTCTTAGTACCGTACTACTATGATACGTTAGTGGTATTTTTAGTTAACAACATTATCAAATTTTGTTACCAAAGTCGATAGGGATCATGTGGGTGTGTTGTGAGGGGGTGCCATCCGTATGATAGTTGCATTGATGCTTACTGCTACTTGCAGTATTGTGTCTTGTGATGGATCTGCGGGTGTGCTGCACCTGATTCGACGCATCTTGTGGTTCTGGTCGATGGAGGTATGCGGGTGGTGATGTCTGCTGGGAATGTATGGGGGACCTTGGGATGGTGTAAGCCCGACGATAGTCGTATTGATGCTTGTTGCATTCTGTAGCATTGCGTCTCTACGACGGTTGTTTGGCGGGTCGCTATTCTCAATGGCGCTCTCTGCGTCTTGGTTTGACTCACAACCTAAGTAGCTTTGCCCAAGTCGGGTCCCTTCATTGCGGGGCTGCAGACTGTCTGCCCTCCATGATGTTTTATATAACAACTTAATAATATATCTCTATAAAGTTCCCACCTTTGAGATATTGAAGGCAACTTGTTGGTGGGTGAGACAAACATGATCGAAAAATGCATATACTCAACGTCAGTGACACAAACCCTTTCTGATGGCGAATTATTAATATTATCTTATAACTGCCTATTGGCTATATCTGCCATTGTATTGGTTGGTGGAGCATATGTGTCGACCTCATGCGGGTGGTAGCTGGAGGGAGAATCTGAGGAGGCTCTCAAGGCTGCGGCCGAAAGTCGCGCAACGTGGGACCCCATTCCCTTGAGGTGAGCGGTAGACTCATGACACGCTCTGCGGCCAATTGGCCGTGCTGACCATGCAATTGGTGGTGATGCCTTACACTTACATCACGTCTGCAGAAACGGCGGTCTGGCAGGTGGTGGCGCTCACGGAGGGCTTTTTATGGTCAGTGTGCCGATTGTTGCCTAACCCGTGTGACGTACATTTCACTGTGGCTGGATTTGATCATATTCTGTATGGCGTTTACACGCATTGACATGCGCGACTTCGGTCGATGTTTGTGCTTACGCACTATCAAGGGGCCAAGTCCTCTTTTACTGGTTCGCCAGTTATTTTGCTGTGGACTACGGTCCAGTTCCCAACTTTGCGTACACTTTGGGGGGAGCGCATTAAAATGGTTGGCGCTCACCGTGCGCGGCGTGTGTGGGGCCGTGTACCTCCTCCACATTTTTTTTAAAATATGGGAGAGCGAAGCCCTTGTAACTGGTATTTGATATAAATATTGTGAGCCTTTTCCAAGCGGGAAGGGATTAATTAATAAGGAATTGACTGTTGTGAACCAGATACAAGTGGAATAGGGACAATTTATTGTTCTTAACCTTTTTGAGCTCTGTCTTCGTGAACGGGGTTCTTTAGCTTATAAGACTCTACCAACAGCTTTCGATTGCTCTCGTGAATATTCATTCTTCCAAGATACACCTAAAAGAACTAAGTTACTATACAAACACAACGTAAAAAAGGGTCCTAACTAAGACGATCACGCCATAAATTTATTAAACGGCCTATATTTAAACCTTTAGAAAGATCAAGTTATACTGGTCACGTAAATTAGATGTATTTATATATCTTACAGATATAGATTCTAAAGAAATACAAGTATAAGTGGGATATAGTAGAAAAGAAAAAAGATGGGGGGGGGGTTCGTTACAATATGCAGAAGAAACAGCGATGGTGATAGCACGCAGCCTTGTGGATCACCAGCGTTAATAGGCTTGTAGTCGGAGCATGCACCGTCTACAACGACCTTGATGCTCCGATCTGCAAGAAAACTGGTGATCCAATTTCACAATTTCTCGGGAAGCCCATAGGAAGGGATGATATATCCCCGAAACTCTTCACTGCTGCATCGGAAGACGTTTTCAAGCTACTGGACTAGAATGAATACGGTATTAACTTCAATGGCGAGTATATAACTCACCTTCGATTTGCCGACAATAATATAGTTCTTATGGCAGAATCTGATCTAAATACTATGCCCAATGACCTCAATAGTGTCTCCCAACGGATAGGTCTTAAGATGAACATGGACAAAACAAAAGTAATGTGTAACGAACATGTCATACCTATGCCGGTAGTAGTTGGGAGCACTAAGCTCGAAGTTGTTGATGAGTATGTTTACCTGGGACAAATAGTCCAATTAGGTAAGTCCAACTTCGACAGAAAGGTCAGCTGACGGATTCTACCCGGTTGGGCAGCGTTCTGGAAATTACGAGACATATTCTCGTCAGGTATACCTAAAGACTTTAAAACGAAATTGTACAACCAGTGAGTGTTGCCAGTGATAACTTATTGATCTGAGACGTAGTCCTTCACTGCTGGCCGTATGAGGAAGCTCAAGATCGATCATCGATCTGTGCAGAAAGCTATGCTCGGGGTTTCTCTACATGATAAACTTAAAAATGAGGATATCCGTAGTAGAACCAGAGTGACCGACATAGCTCAACGGACGAGTAAGCTATGTGGCCATGTAGCTCGAAGAACCGACAACCGATGGGGAAAAAGGTTCTCGATTGCGGACTTAATACCGGCGGGCGAAGTGTAGGGCGTCACCCCAGTAGATGGAGTGACGACCTAGTAAGACATGCAGGAAGTCCATGGATGCAGGTGGCTCAGGACTATGTTTTGTGGCATTCTTTGGGGAAGACCTATATTCAGCAGTGGACTTGTGAAGGGCTGTAATGATGATGATGATGATGACGGAGCAAACTATTTTAATAATTAGACTACAGCTACCAGACTACCTCTCGATCACCAAGATTCTTCACCCGACAATGTAAATATGCGGGTTGTCCCACGGCAGCGGTATAGTTTCGTTTAGTAATGTTATCAAAGTATGGTTCGCCTTTATTTTCAAATTTGTAAGTGCTATTGCAGAAGTTTGAAATATCCATTTCTTCAGTACCATCTTACCCTGCTGTAAGACCTGGAAGGAAAGTAATTTCTTGAACATTTTACACAGTCTACATTAGTTGTGCTATATCAGAATCAGAATATTTATTTCCAATAAACTGTGTATGTACAATTTGCGGGGCAGATTGCATGTTAGATTTAATTTGAAAATAGTTGCTATTCTTGCTCTCATAAACAATTAATAGAATCAGACGTTATTTTGCGGAAATCCATTACATATACGATGTTAAAAATTAATTATCTAATTTGATTGCACTTCATTTGAGGGACGACGTGAGGTGCTCTTATACTTATTTATTTATTTATTTATTTAGAAAACCAACAGCGTATATAGAAAATATTAACATTAATGTAACAAACTAAAAGTATGGCCAATAACAGGTTTCCCTTATATTGTTTGATGGTAGGTGTATTGTTGTTAGAAGAAAAGGAAAAAGAACAATCTAATAGATAAATTATAAGCAAAATTATAAGCAATTCAATGTAATGAAGGTGGTCATAAGTTTACAGATCAGGAGAGATAGTCAGGTAGAATGATACTTATAGTATATATACTTGTAGTATATGAGTACTTATATTTATATTAGTAGCCTCAAAAATACATATAGAAGAAATAGATGAGAGAATATATGATTGTATGTGATTTTAACTTCAACTGCTCTATTTCATAATAGTTTTCTTGATGTAATCTTTAAACGTAAGTTTGATGTTGTTCATTATATGTACGAGCAAGCCGCGAAAGAACAGTGTTTCGACAGTAGTTTGAATGATGCCAGGGAGTTTGTAACAATGTAGTATTGCGGGTACGGAATTTTGGAGTACGAAAGGTGATTCTTGAGACAAGATATGGACAGTCAATATTACTGTTTATTATATCATATAACAAAGCCATGTCAAGCAAAATGCGCCTGTGTTCCAGAGATAAGAGATCGTGCTCACTGCAACTGTCTGTGTAAGTATCGATTTTATTCCGACAGCGAAAGTTAAGGTGATTAACAAATATTTTTTGAATACGCTCAAGGCTGCTTTTGTAGACATTGTACTGTGGAGACCATATTGAACTAGCATATTCCAAAACACTTCTGACATATGCAAAATAAACCATTTAATTGTATTAATATTCGAGAATGGTTTACAGATGCGAAGAACAAAACCAAGATTTTTATAGGCTTTACTGATAACGTAATCAATGTGTTCGGATAGTATCATTTTATGATCAAAAATTACGCCTAAATCCCTAACACTTACTTTTCGGCTGATTTCTAATCCGTCAAAGTGATATTTATTTAGAATTGTCTTAGATTTCCGTTTAAAACTAATACATTCGCACTTGCTTGCATTGACAGTTATATTATTTATTTTGTAATATTCAAATAAACGGTCCAGGTCTTTTTGTATCAATAGGCAGTCATGTATGGTGTTAATTTTACAAAAAATCTTCTTATCATCTGCATACATGAGGTAATTTGTGTGTATAATGCACGAACCAATGTCATATAGGTAGGCATTGTAAAAAAGTGGACCTAAGTGAGAGCCCTGAGGAACACCTGTAGGTATGTTTATGTAGCTCGAACGGAAACCACCTATCACGACTGCTTGTGAGCGGTTTGTGAGATATGATTCAGTCCATCGGAGCAAGTCACCGTGAATCCCTAATATTTGTAATTTGTTGAGCAGGATCATGTGATCCACACGATAGAAACACATATAAAAATACACATGAAAATCTACACCAGTTTAGAAAACAAGACTTTCTCAGATAAGAACTTTAAGCCATAATGGTGTATCAGTCTAATAATGGCGTTGTCATATGGAGACCAGCCTTTCTTGAATCCTCAAATCAGACTGTTACTAACTTATAATCTTAGTTAGAGATTGGAGTGGTTAGCGGGCACCAGAGGTCAATTTTTCACTTCTATTCCAACTGATATAGCCGAAGGATAAAAACCTTTTCAATATCGCCTTCAAGACAACCTATATTATAATTAAATAGAATGACAAATTTGTAAAAATGAAGTAAGCTGTTTGGTTCAAATACATCGTACCATGGAATTGTATGTCGAGAATGTAAAGAAGTTCCATAAAATGCAGCATTCAATATACTTAAGAAGCTGAACAAATTTTTATCAATTTCCACTAAAACTGGGCTTGCTCGATCTTCTAATTTCCTGTTCTCGTCTATATAGATATAAACGGATTAATTAACTCATAAACTTGAGCATCTTCGAAACCATATTATAACTGAACGCGAATATGTAATAACAAATGTTTTATTTGCGTTCTTTGCCTAATATTATGATTCCTATTTTAATTTGTAACGTAAGTACGACCATTTCTCATAATACAATTATATTCGAGAGGCTCTCGACCGTCTTTTTTGCAGTTCACATTATTTCTGTACTTTTAATATATCAAGTGCACTTTTTCAAAAATTTTTCAGCTTCTCAGTTTAAATAAATTCTTGTCCTACAAAGTTTCATTTCTTAAATTTCTTTTTGTAGTTATTCTAAAGGAAATATTTCTGTAGCAATAAGATTGCCTTTTGTTTTCACTCTGTATATTTTCTTGTTAAGGCCTTAACAGTGGTTGAAATGCCTAAATCTAGGATATTTAAGTAAAAAAATCTCAATAACTGTTCATTTAATCCACAAAGAAAAAATACAGGGTAACAGAAGAAGATTTGGTAAATGTTTTTAATTTAACAAAATTGTATTTTTGTCAACCCCTTATTTGAAAAAAAAATCCCCAAAGAGTACCTATCTTTGTCATATTTTGTAAAATTTCTCCAAAACGACACAAGCTTTTTAAATAGTTCTTACACTAAAAAAAAGGTCTTAAAAATATTAATATTTTTAATTGAGAGTTTTATTTTTATTACCCGTTTTATAAGAGAATATATCATTTTTCCCTGAAATTGAATATATTTACGCGAGCGCGCATGCTCCGTCGCCATGTAAGCTCTGTCACAGTCCGTTTTCGGACATCGTCGAGGGTGGACCGCACGTCGGTGTTGGAGCGACTTCGTTCAAATATATATTAGTTTTTTAAAAGTTTATACTCAATTATAAATATTTTTATGACTAGAAATACTTAATTTAGTTAATATCTGTACACTGGTAACTGTAAATATTATTTTCTAAATAAACGAATTTTTAAAGTGCCCAAAGAAGAATAAATTGTCGCTGCGACGTTGATTAGTGAAATTGAAAAATGCATTTTTATATAATTTAGATGTGGAACGACGAACATGCTCTCGTTACTTAGATTGCGATAGTTTTTAATACCTATGTAATTTTATTGTTGCATATTTTTATTAATTAGTTGATAATGAATTTTATAATTATGTATTACAATAAAACGCTGTTTTTATAAGTATGACTTTATAAAATATTATTGGGGAGAGAAATAAAGATACAGATACTTACATTTAGGTACACTGTTATCAAATTAAATCAAACAATTTAAATAAATAAATGAATGGTGCTTACCTAAGTATAAATAACTATATAAAGACATTCTTGGGTTTATGGTTTTTTTTGTTAGACAAACTATCATCTAAAAAATGTAAAAATTTTAAATTGGAGAGGGGTTTCTCTACGTGATAAAGTTAGAAATGAAGGTATTTGCATTAGAAAAAAAAAAAATTTGATTCGTAATCGAAGATAGATGTAGATGTCTATGGGCCGCAGCAACCACTTACCATCAGGTGGACTGTGGGCTCGTTTGTCACCCTTATCCTATAAAAAAAACAGTAACTGACATAGCTCAACGGAATATTACAGTGAAATGGCAATGGGCTTGCTATATAACTTGGAAAACATATAAAAAATAGGAAGGAAGGTCCTCGAGTGGCAACCTCGTACAGGTAAGCGAATTAGTACTCAACCTTTATTCCTCTTCACGTATTCTCATACGCTTTTCTTCACACATACACACACACACACACACACACACGCACACACACGCACACACACACACACACACACACACACACACACACACACACACACACCCACGCACGCACGCACGCACGCACGCACGCACACACACATACACACACACAAATAGGTCGCAAATAATACTTTTCTAGTACTATTAGGCAAGAGTGAATAGGTTTTTGTTAAGTCAGTGCAATTCACCATCTTAGACTACATAACCACTTACCGATGGGATTGTAGTTGCTTTACTACTTGCTGGGTAAAAATAGTAAAAAAAAATTTACCCTGTGAAAGTTTGCATTTAGATATAATTTTTCTAACCAACCATAAAAATATGATGAGAATATGTATATAAGTATAAAGGTTGCCTCACACGGAACAGTGATAATATAATATTATATCTTCCATTATCTCTGAAATCCGAGGTATGTTCATATTAAGAGACTGAATAGAGCCACATTGAAATGTATGGGGATGGTTTTGTAATTTCACGTCATTATCGAAAAAAGCTTGTACGTATTTCAGGTGGCGGTTTGCAAAACACGATTCCACTAATTTACTCAATAGAAAATTAACTCAATTTATTAATATAAATTACTAAATTAGCTCAATAGAAAATAATTGCAAAGTTGCTTCTAAAAAGACTTAAATTTTCAACGTCAATTTTTTTTACGTGGTAGAGCCATGCTACAACTATATTTATTAGGTATAGTTGTAGCACGAATGGGTCGGCTCGACCGGGGAAGGGCCACGCTCTCACGGAATAACATGTAAAATAGCAGTTTAACCCTGCTGTGTTTCGTATGGTGAGTGTAGAGAACCGGAGGACCTTTTTACTGGAAACGAGGCATTACATCTTAGTCCTCACGGGTGATAACGCATCTACATTTTGATACGTAATCGATGATAGATGTAGATGTGTATGGGCCGTAGCAACCACTTACCATCAGGTGGACTGTGTGCTCGTTTGTCACCCTTATTTTATTTAAAAAAAACTTTCTGAGATTTCAGTAAAATAATGTTAAGTATTGTAAGCACTCGTA